ATACGGTAGATCACTCTATGCAGTTTTTTACACTGATTTTAAATATGTCTTTATTTTTCTCTCAAAGTGCTTCTGTGATAATGAAATCGCGAAACAATTTTTATAACCAAGATTTTTAGAAAGTCTATATCTCAGTCCAGATGCATTTGCTCATCTTTTCGCTAACTGAGTATATGTCCTAGATATAGAAGAACATTCTCTCAATGCTTCGCCGATATCGAATTAGTGGAAAAAAGTGACGGCTAATTTTATTCTAGACATCTTTTCCGGAAATGGTTAGCATAAAAAGAGTAATAATTTTTTCTCAGGATGTATAAATAGATCGAGCAGAAGTCCTAGCTTCACATTATGTATATATATATATGATTAATTGTCCAACTCTTTTGGAACTAATGAGGGAACTGTTTGTCAGTTGATAAATCATTTTTGATTTCGAACTCTATGCATAAGGTAGATACTAGTCAGCTATGGCATACCATGTATCAACAAATTGAATAACGGATTTTCGCCCTAAAATTTTCTCCACAGATAAATGTACTTGTAACTAGAATGTTTTGAAAATCTTAGCTTAAGAGAATGTTTCCTTTGCGAGATATTGAATTTCTAAAAATATGAGAATCTCACATCTTTTAGCATGATTTGAATGATGTTTGGAAATTCAAAATCTTGCGAAAGAAGCATTGTTTTTAGTTAAAATTTTCAGAAGATTCTAATCATAAGCTTTATTTTTTATGAAAAAACTCACTTTCATGTGTTGTTCATCTAATGTCCACATTGTTGCTCACTGTATCCCGTTTGAAACACCCCTCAATTAGTATGATCGTAAAATTATTATTCTTCATTTCCAATATATGTACAATCTTTTTTTTTTTTTACTTAAAATCAAAAATCCATTTATCTGATATAAATAATGTTGATAGTAATATTTTTTTTAGACTTATTACAAGAAAATATGAAACGAATAGTTTCAAAGGTATCAAATTTCTAATTGCATAAGGCGTGCATGCATGTATATGTTTATTTATATTGTTTTCACTATTGTATGAAAAATTGCTTTTTTTTTTTTATCTCTGGTAACAAGTGTGCATGTCGAGAGCGAAAGAAAAAAGATTTTTGTGCTTATTAAATTAATAATCGAGCATGTAAAACGAAGATCTTTATATAAAGAATTCAGAATTAACAGGAAGCAATCTGGTTTTTTTTGTTTGTCTTGTCAATGATAATTTTATAAAGTAAAATATATTGATTATTCATTTTAATTGAATCATAATTTATAGCACGAAATGATTACTTACGAGATAAATAGAAATAAATTTTTGAATATTAATCTAATTTTTCTATTTAGGTATAACTGGTGTTTCACGTGATTTTTATCGTGAAATAATTAAAGTTAATTATGAAGGTGTACGTAATTTTTATCATACACCAACTGTATTATCATTAAATAATTTACCTCGACAAATGAATGAATATGATGTAACGGTACCTGAAAAATTTATAGTTCCATTAGAAAATTATTGGAGTTATGTACCTGGTTCAGCAACATGTGAAATATTTGTTTCTGGTGATGTAGCTGGTCCATTTTTCTTATTAGGTTATGATGAATGGTTAAATACAGATAATTTAATTCAACGTACAACTGCACCAGCTGATTCAGGAATTTTTGATTTTGCTATGATGATTTATAATCTTCGTTATATGTTACAAGGTCAATAACATAAAAAAGAAAAAAAAAAGATATTTATCTTCATATGTAAAATTATATTGTTTTACTTTTAGGTCATGGTGGTCGTGCATTTGATCAAGAAAAACTTATGAAAGTATTAACATTTGCTAATATGGAATATCTTCGTTTTATGGCTATGTATCTTGGTGATAATCCAGATGAACCATGGCGTAAAGGTTCATTTAGTCAATTTGGTTTTGTAAATGAATCATCTGTTTGGTTAACATCATGGGCATTAATGACATTACGTGATGCTATTTATCCTGAATGGGAAGAAAAAGCTTTATTTATTGATCCAAGTCTTCGTTCAGATATTGTTGGTTTTCTTTTAACTGTTCAACAATCAAATGGTTCATGGGCAGAAATAACAACACCTTTAGATCGAAATAAATTTGGTATACGTTATACAAATATAAGTGGTACATATCAACAATTAAATTTATCCTTAACAGCACAAGTTGTTATTGCATTACAGTTAAGTCTTGATATACGTGGTATACAAACTAGATTTTTAACAGGTGCTATTAATCGTGGGAAAATGTGGTTAGAAAGACATTTTCGTTTAATTACTGATGCATTTGATATGGCTATTGTTACATATGCATTACATTTAACAAATAGTGCTGAACAAGATGCAGCTTTTTCAATGTTAGATTTATTTAAACGAATGAGTAATATTTGAAATATTTTGTTTATATATGTTATATATTGAATATTTAAATTTAGATGAAAATGGAATTTATTATTCAAATTTAAATTTACCTGGAATGACAAAAACATGGCAAAATATAAATCCACGATATGGTCCTAAACCTGTACAAACAGATTATGAAGCACATGCTGTTGCTGCTACAGCATTTGTTATAATGACTTATACACAAAAAGCTCGAGTTAGGCAAGCTGAACAAGCTGGTAAGTTATTCATATAATTTATTCTTACAGACGTTAACAGAAGAAAAAAAACAGCATATTCTTCTGTAACAAAAAACAAAAGTTTGATTTATTGATGTTTTTCATGATTTTTCTTGAATAAATTTTCTAGTATTATGGCTTCAATCAATGCGTAATTATATTGGTGGTTGGTCTGCAACATATGATTCTTGTATAGCACAACGTGCAATTGTTAGCTATGCTGTATTACGTGGGTTTGAAATAACCGATTATAAGATTCGTTTAAATTTAGTAGCATCATCATCACTTGATCATCTTCATACTCCAATTGAAATTGTTGATGAAAATTTAATTGAAACTCAAGTTCGAGATATTGAAAATGCTTTTGGTGTAGTTTATCTTGATGGTTTCGGTAAAGGTTATGCACTTATTCAAGTATGTAATATTTAATTATTGTGAAACACAATCTGAAAGGAGTGTTGAAGTATGAAACTACAAATTTGAATGTTCTTACAGATCGTGACGGGTGTTGTTGATATAAAATGGTAGAAAAAAGTTTAACAACAACGTATTTTGGATTTTCTATAATGTTAAGCAATTAACTCAAATTCAGATAGTAATCTTAATAACCAATGGAATATTCTATATCATACATTCTATAGTAAGATTTCTAAATAATTGAACATAGTAGTTTTCAGGTTTCAGAAGACTTTGTCGAAGGTATTTTATAAAGCACAAAATGAAGGGGCGCCACATTTTCTATAAAGTTTCCTTAAAAAGTTAACAGTATTACAAAAACTAAAAAAATGTATTTTTATAGTCGATTTTTTGATAAATTTTGTTTTTGTGATACTTTTAACTTTTTAAGAGAAGGTAATAGAAAATATGACAATTTCTAATTTTGTTCAAAATTTTATGCTCTATAAAATATCTTCGACAAAGTCTTCTGGAACCTGAAAACTATCATGTCCAATTATTTAGAAATCTTACTATAGAATTCATGATATAGAATATTCCATTGGCTATTAAATTTACTATCTCGATTTGAGTTAATTGCTTAACATAATTGAAAAAAAAATTGAACTTTTTTTCCACCATCTTACGATCATATGCTATACTTCAATAAAGTCTCGTTCTAATATATGAACTACTTCCTTATTGAATTTCTGAAAGATTATATCAAAGGATCATGAAGTAATATGTCCCAAAGTAGATCGAGTAAAATAATTTCTCTGTGATTAGCGCCAACAGCTACATCGTGTTTTATATTTTAATCTCTCAGGAATGGCGCTAAAAGCTTTTCTTTTTTTGTTGTTTGGCAATAATTTTATGCTGCTTTCTAATTCTCTATTTAGATGCATGTTGGTGTTAATGTTGAATTTGAGCCATCTGTTCGTCGTCCACAATGGATTCCATTTTCAATTGATGTTCAACCAATGTTATCTGGTCGTAACTTTTCAGTAATTGATTATAATGTTTGTCTTGGTTGGCGTCCACAAAATGTTGATGTACTTAAAGCATCACGTAGTGGTTCCGTTATGATTGAAATACAAATTCCAACAGGTTATCGTGTTGAAGAAAGAGATTTAAAAGTTATGCTACGTAGTTTTCATGTACGTAATTTACGTGAAGCAGAAAATTGGCCTGGACAAATTAATTTTGGTTTTGATTATGTTGATTTTGATCCAATATGTTTTGAATTCCAAGCTAAACGTTGGATACCTGTTGCGAATATATCACGTTATTATGAAGTACGAGCTTATGAATGGTTTGAACCTGGAAATATGAATCGAAGTATTTATACATTAAGAAATTTATTTGCATTAGATATATGTGAAGTAAATCTATTTTTTGTTTTTTTGTTTGGTTTTTGATTGAAAGAATTTTTTTGATTCATTAGGTTTGCGGTTCATATCAATGTCCATATTGTCCATATTATAGTCATGCAAGATTATTAATTCAATCAACAATTATGATAATATTTATTTTATGTTTATTATTAGAATTATATATAATTATTATTTAGATACCATTTATTGATGTCTCACATTCTAATACTCATTTATGTATATTAATTCATTCCATTTGCTTTTTATTACGGAGTGAATCTCAATACATCCGTATTTGATGAAACTTTGTGCAAGAGTATTTCTTTTTGTGTTCTTGATTTTTTTTCTTGATCTTCTTTTCTTTGACGCTATATAGAGATTTTTTTGATCTTTTGCTCATATGAATTATTTGAGTGTGTATACATTCCATTTTTTTCTGTGCATTTTTTTTACACATAAATTTTTTTGCTACATATTGGAAAATAGTTGTTTTTCCTTCATTTTTTTTCTAAAATAATAAAAAGAAAATAAAAACTGTAGTATGACTTTTAGATATGAATATTGAACGGGAATTTCCTTTACATGTGGCCATTTGGAATAATGAAACAGACAAATTAGCCGAATTAATAAAACACAATAAAGTAAGTTGTTCATTGTTAATGTGATATAGGAAAGGAAAATTTTAATTATTGAATAGTTTTTGTTTCGTTTGTTTTTTTTTGTTCGAAAAAAATGTCCGGTTGATTTATTTGTTATTGAGCCGTATTCACTAGGGTGTTTATTGTGTAAAACAATGAACACTCAAAAAATACTCAAGAGAATTTATATTTATAACATATGAGAAAAATGAATGTTTAAATAATCTGTAAAATCATGCAATGTTCTTGATTTTGGATTTGTTTATTATAGAACAAATATTTTATTTTTAGGATCGAATTGAACAACTTGATCCGCGTCATCGAACTCCAATACAATTAGCTGTATGTTTGGGTCGTGTCGAAGCAACTCGATTATTAGCACAGAATGATGCTGATTGTAATGCTGTTTCAAAAGATGGATGGAATTGTAAGCTTTTTTTTTCGTTTATATTTTTTTTTTTGATAATTGTCTATAGTTATGAATTTATTTAGTATTACAAGAAGCTGTAGCAAATGGTAATCCTTCTTTAGTTAAACTTATTATGAAATATCGAAATTATCAAAGAAATGTTCAACGTATTCGTGGTATTCCAGAATTATTACGAAAATTGAAAGAGGTAGAAAAAAAACAAAAATTATTCTTGTTTTTTTTTTCTTTTGTAAATAATTAAGTTCTATGTGTAACTATTTTTTTTTTTTTAGTCGCCAGGTATTTGAAAATGGAATTCATTTATTAATTGTTATTTAGTCAAGATTTAAACATTTATTTTAGATTTTTATGTTGAAATGAAATGGGAATTTTCTAGTTGGGGTAAAAAAATAGTAATTAAAGAAAAATGATACAATACTTATATTTTTGTTATTTAGTTCCTCTAGTGTCAAAACTTTGTCCAAATGATACTTATAAAATTTATAAAAGTGGTATGTAAAATAGATTAGAATAGAGATAAAAATTAATTTTATAAATAAAAGGTCCAAATGTTCGTGTTGATACGACATTACTCGGTATTGAAGGTACAAATTGGCAACGAGGCAATCGAACATTTATTTTTTCATTATTAGGTAAGATATTTTATTTATTTGATATCTCTCTAGGACAATATTTATAAATTTTATCTTTAGCTGATTGTGCAAAAATGATTGATATTGATCATGAGACAAAATCAGCTTATAGTGAAAATTTAAGTATACCTGGTGAAGAAGCAATTCTTCTTGAACCAAATATGGATCAAATTGATAGTAAACTTATGTCACCAAATATAACTGGTGTGTGTCTATTAGTTCTTTTTTTTTTGTTTGGATTTATTTGGATTCTATATCTGTGATTTTTCTTTTTAGTCTATCTTGATGTAGATAAAATTGAATTTGAACGGTAAAACGAAAATTTAAGGATAAAAAGAAAGAATAAATATTATTTAAAATTTATTATAGAAGTAAATCAGGTGTATGGGGAATGCGTAATGAAAAAACAGAAAATATTAATGGTTATCAATGTAAAGTTTATACAGCTAATAAATTTGAACTTGTGACACGTACTCGTATTGAACATATGTCACAAGATGATCGAAAAGCTTACGAAACTGGGCATGCATCAAATAGAAATTTTCTTGGTGGAGTTTTTAATTTTCTTGAATCATCAGCATCATCATCAAAAGCAACAACAACAGCAAATGCATCAACATCGAAATCATCCAATGTATATGAATATTATTTAGAATTATGTAAATTATTATGATTTTTTTTTCTTGAAAGGATTCATCAAAATCTTCCAGTCCATCACCAGTAACACTTGAAGAATATTTTAATAATCGAGTTGATCTTAAAAATCGAGATATTGGTCGACCACGTGAAGAGAATGTTAAAATTCAAACGTTTAATGCTCAAATATCTCTTTGTGATGAATATCCACTTAGTCTTCAAGAACAAATATTACCTATTATTGATTTAATGGCAATTAGGTAAATAATCATATTTCACTTGGAATATGATTTCATTTTTGTTTTGTTTTTTTTTAATTTTAGTAATTCACATTTTAAAAAACTACGTGATTTTGTTACACTTCAAATACCAAATGGATTTCCTGTTAAAATACGTAAGTAAAATAAATAAATAAATTACTTTTTTTTTTTTAAATTTTTAGTATATTTGTTTTTAGAGATTCCACTTTATCATGTTCTTACAGCTAAAGTAACATTTGGAAATATTCATGGTATTGATAAAACTGTTGATGGTGTATCAACAATAAAAGAAGATTCAATTTCATTTTGTGCTGTCGATGAAAATATCTTTGCTATACCAGCAGGATATCGTCGTCAAGGTTTGTCTTTGAAAAATACCAGACATATTAATGAAACATATTTCTATTTCTTATCGTCTTTCTTAGGTGAAGGTGAAGGTTATCATCCAATGATGTATATGGATGATGATGCTCTATTACAAATGGCTATTGAAAGAAGTCTTCTTGATCCAAATGAAACTAATCCAACTACTGATGGACAGAATTCATCAGATCAAGTTACATTATATGAAGCTTTAGGTCATCCGGGGGCACAAGCAAATCGACCGGATATTAATAATCGCTATGTAGATTATGATTTACAACGGTAAAAGATTGAATTTATAATAATATAGAAATTTTATTTTTGTTTTTTTTTCTTCGCATAGCGCTTTGGAAGCAAGTTTATTGACATCAGGTTTAAGCGAAGCAGAAATGAATGAAATTAGACAACAAACTCAAGAACAATTAGAAGGTGACGATTCATCACAAGATTTATCTGTAGCTATGGCATTATCAAAACGTGATGAAGAAGCTCGACTTCATCGATTACGTGAAGAAGAAGAAGAACTTGAAAAAGTATATTTTATTTTTAATAAATAGACTAAGATTTCTTTTATAAATTCAAAATAATTTCCTAATGTATATCTACTAAAAATAGATTTTTATTACTAGAATGCTTTTTTGTTTTCATTATTCGATGGATTTTTTAAAATAGAAATAACAAAAAGAATACTTCTGAAACTTAAAAGCTACTCTCGAATATTAATTGTTTATGATAAAAAAAAAACTGCCAGTAGATACATAACATTCTGCAAACGTAAAAATATAAGTTGTTTACTAAATGAATACTGTATGTAAATGATTGACTAAAAAAAGAATAATTAAGGAATATAAAAAAAGAGAAGCTAGAGAAATAAAATAAGAACTCATTCATATTGACTTATATATTATTTAAAATTTTCTTCTATGTTTATTCTTAATTATAAATATTGTAAATTTAGATCCTTCAATTATCACTTCAAGAAAAATAAGACAAATCAAATGCTTACAAACTTGATCTCCAGTGTGTGTGTGTATTATATTAAGAAAATGCGTTTCATTCTTTTCTTTTTCATCTTTTTTTTTTGTCAATTATTTAATTTCGAATCGTGAAAAAAAAGCTGTTTTATTTTTTCTATTTATTTGTCTATCGAGGAAATAAAAATAAATGTAAACATAATACTAATCGAGATGATCAAACTGTAAAATTTTTTTTTAAATTCATTTCTTCTCTTTTAAGATTTATATTTATGATGTCACCATCGCCCAAATCTCCCGAAGAAAAAAAACTACCAGCTAATGAAAATTCATCAAATGATGAATTATCTCATCCACAAAATCATACACAACATGAATATATTGCTTCTGATGAATCAACAACAAATTCTGATGATGATAATAACAATACAAATAATCAATATGAACATTTCAATGGTTATTGTCTTTTACCACAAGAATCCGATATAAATCAACAACAACAACAACAACAACAAAACTATGATGATAGTGAAGATGAAGATGAAGAATTTCTTCGTTTTGCTACACTTCGATTACAATCATCAATTGATGAAAATAAAAATTTTCAAACAATAAATTCAACAATATATACAAATGAATCTATTTGGTCAACGAAATTAGAAAGTGAACCATTTCCTGTTGATGATGATAAAGCTAATTATATTAAAAATTTAATGTCTTCAATAAAATTGCCTGAATCAAGTATACCTGTATGGGCACAATATTATACAGAACAAGATTGGCAAGAAAAATTACGTGAAAGAATTATTTGCCGACAGACAACATTTTTTCTTAATGAAAAAAACTAAAGAAAGTGATCTGGTCTACATGTAAATTTTATTTTTAATAAACAAAACAAACCATGAACCATAGAAGGATTTAATTTTTTTTCTCATCTCGGCAGTTTTGTAATATGAGCAGAAGAGAAAAAAAACGAGAGAGACAGAGAAAGAGGCAAATAAGGTAATTATTTGTTAAGAAGAAAAAAAAACGAAAAGAAGAGATATATATATGTACAGACATATTCACATTGCTTTGTTTTTTCATTCGATCTTTTAACGACATTCAGTGTTTAAATCATCAGTGAAGGTTCACTTGAAATATTTGTTTGCATACATACCGCTTTTGAAACACAACGGCCACAATAACAACAACAAATCCGATGTCTACATTTACAGCCAAGGTAAACGAAAATCTAAATAATCTTCTATATTATATATCTGTGACATGTTATAATTAATATGAGAAATCGTTAGGAATGAAATAAATATGAATAAAAATCTTTTTTCATTAAATATATATATATATATATAACAAAAGTAAAATGATACTGTGTATAAAACAGAGTAAGAAAGAAAATAAGAATCTGTAGAAAAAGAATAATTGAATCGCAGAAATATAATGGTGCCATGCATGCCAATAAGGTTACTATCAATAGAGTATTTACATATCTGTTGATAGCAAACTGGAATTTCTCATGCGATTTGCTCTTGTCTTCTTTCTTTTTTTTGACATTAACAAAATGAAAATCGACCATTTTCAATGATAAGTTTTTTCTTTTATAAGACTATCTATCATCAAGAGAGAAGATACTAATCACTTAAAGTCTGTATATTGAACTCTGTGTAACAGTAGTTCATTGGCCTTCAAATGACTTATATTTACTCAGCCTTCTTTTCTTTCTTTTTTCCCACTCTGTTTCATTAATGGTGCGTATATGTATGTCTATGTGCTTACAAATGAGATCAAGCGCAAATTTGTAATCAACGATTTGAATAGAGTCAAGCAAAGTCTTTGCTTCTTTTTTTTTTTAATACTTTTTACAGTCATCGTCCATATCACGACCTTTTATTGGTTCACGTCGTAATCGGGATTATTTCAACAATAATTTAAACCCGTCATCATTATCGAACGATTATTGTTTCTCAACGAATTCTTCATCCGAGTCGACCATACCAGTTGAATCTGAGGAGAAAAATAATTTATCAAATGCAACAACAGCGGACGGTTTACAAACGCAAGAGGAAGATCGGCATCTAGTGAAGTATTTCTCATCGACGCTTCCACAAGACGAACGACAATTGCATCTGGAAGAGAACCAGAAAGCAAAAGAGTTTTTGCCGTTATCGTCATCTCCCTCACTTTTCCTTTTTCCAACTATTCACAACGATACGCCTTTATCTATCTACGACCATTCTTCTCCTTCTTCTTCTTTCATCAAAGAACAGCAAAATTTTGACGATCCTTCTCGTCAGTACGAAGAATATTCATACTGGCAACCATTATTAAATAGTGAGCAAGAAAACAATCAACTTACAGCATTAGAAAATTTTGAAGAACCACAGAAAGAACAACTACAACAAAAACGATCATTAACAAATTCTATACCAATTAACAATCATAACTTTGATTTAAGTGACGTACCAGAAGAAAATAGTTCATTTTCATCAACATATTCTTTAACTGATGTTACTATAGAAAATAATAACAACGATAATCAATCTTACCTTTTTACATCAACACCCATTATTCCTCCTCCTACATTACATAGTCCAACAGCAAGCAATAAAATTTTTGATACATTATTATCTGATAACAACAATAATAACAAACCATTACTTTTACCATCAGACAATATAGCCGATCAATCGTCTACTATATCAACAGCCGGTTTAGTAACTGATATTCAACGTAAAGCCGATATTTATCAATTAAATAATATGTCAACATTATCACCATTACGGTATTCATCATATTTAGGTGCTGGTACAATAATATCACATCCATATGATCAACAAATTAGTGATGGAGGTAATAAATATATAATTCAACTTAGAACAGATGAATATCAAGAAAATGACTTTACAATTATACCACGTTATTCACTTAATCAATTAATTATTGATGCTAAACATCGTGAAGAAGATAGTCTTGGTGGTTATATACATCGTGAATTACATAAAATTTTTAACATTCCAAAACATATCGATTTAAATCGATAT